TCCTTTCAGTGTGTGGTCTTAATTTCAAGCAGATGTTAGCTTACATCTTTATAGAAACAGTATGAATGTAAAAATGATGCAATTTCAGAGCTGCCATGCACTGACCAATCATTTTTTTCAGTGTATTTGTACTTAGTGTATATCGGGCATAACATTTCTAGACCATCTCATGCTTAGAGAAACAAAGCTACAAAAAGACTTTTCCTCCTCCCTTCTCCTTTCTCCCTCTCCCCTTCTGCCTCCTCTCTCATGCTTAGCACACACTCTACCAGTGAACTGTGTACATCAGTCCTTGAGCCATGTTGTCTGCCTGTTTTTATTACTTTCCTCCTCTTCATGTTTTTTATCGTCCCTTCCCCCCCTTCCCCTTTGCTCGCCCGTCTTTCTTCCTCTTTACCTCTTTACCATTATATGTGAGAAGCGTCACCCTGTGCTTCCTCAGTAGAATTAGGTAGCTGCTGACTCATCTCTCTTACTGCTTTTCCCACATCTGCTGTTTTAACGCGTATTAAAGGGACCTTCCCTTTGGCTGTGGGCAGTTTGGGGAGATGAAGAAGTGAGCAGTTGTGGGTGTTAGCAAGGTTCTTTACTCTTCTCTTATGCTCTCACGAACATGGAAGATGAATACTCATTTTGTTAGCGCTAGAAAACAGCTGAATTAGAACTGTCCACACATTGCCAATATATTTTTATATTCATGACTATTTGTAGAACAGTTTTGTTTCTGTTTCTCAGAGTTGAAACATAAATCTCTTAGCCTATTACCACTAGTTTTGAAGTTTAAAAATATATACGTTTCCCCATTGTTATTTAAGTATCCTCCTTGAATACTTGTTTATGCTCTGGTAGGAGAAATGGGTTGCTTCTGATCTTAGCACAGGACAGTCCTACTTTCCCAGACCCTAATGGTTAGGAGGAAACACCTGGAGCTGCCATTAGCACAGACACTTGACATTTTTCCAAGGTTGTGTGGCTTTCTGTTTTGTGTAGTACTGATGATGTAATAGCCTGCATTTAACCAGCAGATGTATAGTAGATGATTTGAGCTGGTATAGCAACAACACCTTGCTGTAAATGTGTATTTTTTCTTAACCAAAAGGCCATAAAAAGTGTTTTTTTTTAAATATTATTTTCTACTAAACATTATTGGTCTCTGTTGATAGTTTTCTGCTTGATTGCTTGTTCAATGATGCATGTTTTTTCTCTTAAAGCTGTCACAAAAACAGACACTTTCATCAGCCCCAATTGGAGAATGCCAACATGGTAATTGTGTCAAACCACAGGCTTATCTAATGGGCTGGTTGTTCACAGCCCTGTTCTTTTGGTTGTCCGTAAGTAGAAAAATCTTTACTTAGTACATTATATAACTATACCACTAATGATGGAGTTGGGCAATTCTAATTAAAGATTAATGGGCACTGTATAGTTTGAGAAAAATTAGTCTGGTTTTGTCTTTGTCCATTAAACTTTGTTGCCTTGGGCACATCGTGCTTGCTTAGTCTTTTCCCTTGCTGATAAAATAAGAATATTGGGCTAGATTTGTTGTTGGTTCTTTTTTTGTTGTTTTTTTTTTTTTTTTTTTTTTGAGACAGTTTCTTTGTATAGCCCTTGTTCTGGAACTCACTCTGTAGTCCAGGCTGGCCTCAAATTTAGAAAACTGTATTTTACTGAATAGTGTTTGCCAGCTTCTGTAGACAAGTCTAGATGCTCCTGCTATACATGAAAGAAAGATCCCTCCCTTCAAGGCTTTAGTGGGAAATATAACCCCGATTTATGTTGTTGGAAGCATACCATGTGGCACTGGGTTTCCATTTTTCCTGGTAGGGCAGTTAGAAGCCCATCCACATCTGAATTGCTGAGAATTACAAGCATGGTAATTATGGTGAATGCATGCGCTATAATCATGTTCTCTTGATGGTAGTGATTTGTTTAAGAAATCATCTTACAAACAAAGAAAGTGGTGTTGGGTTTGAGCTCTTAGAGCTGTTTTAAGAACATGATTATTTACATAGAGTTACACCTCCCTTCATTGTTGACTCTTCACAGCTCAGTAAGCCCTGTCCATTGTTTTCTGTCTTATAGCATCAGTTTGAATGAGTGACGTGGGTCAGCTCTGGGGTGTGTGCAGAGGTCACTGATGCAGTGCGTGAGGCGCAGCTCTGCCTGGGTCACCTGTGCTCTGTATTTCCATGGTAGCAGTTTGTCTTCAACTTCTATTCTTTAGCTTTTGATCACATAGCCAAGCAATGACTTTCAAATATGATGTGGTAATATGTTTTTGTGGGGTAGAGCTACTTCTGGTGAGAACACACTTTATTACATGTTCTATAATCATTTCCACAAACTGACATGGATCTTTTCTAAGGAATAAAGCAGGAGCTTTGTGATCCATTCATGGATGTTTTAAAGAATAGAAATTGCATATTGTTGGACACAGTGATGTTAGTGGTTGTTTTAGTTAGGGTTTCATTGCTGTGAATAGACATCGTTTCTAAGGCAACTCTTATAAAGGAAAACATTTAACTGAAGCTGGCTTACAGTTTCAGAGGTTTAGTTTATTATGGCAAGAAGCATGGCGACTCGCAGGCAGATTTGGTGTTGGAGAAGGACCTGAGAGTTTTTCATATAGACTGTAGGCAGCAAGGAGGGACTTTGTGCCACACTGGACCTAGCTTGATCAGGGAGACCTCAAAGGCCCCCCCCCCCCAAGCGACATACTTCCTCCAACAAAGTCACACGTCCTAATAGTGCCACTCTCGATGGCCAAGTGTTCATGGCATTTACTCTGTGGCGGCTGTCTCCATTCCAGCCAGCACAGTGATTTCTCCTGTGATCACAGTGTGCATAGCTATTGGCTCATTAACACGACAGTGGAAACTTCAGCTGTATGTTCACTGCTTTCTGAATATTTTGACTGTATCATCATCAGTCGATTATTAAGCTAAGTACCCTGTCTCTTGTAGCTAGAGTACTTAGCTGCCAACTTATCTTGGTTAGCTTATATAAGTGTGGGATGATTTTCTTTTAACTTTACCTAGATATTTATTCACTTTCGAGATGTAATTTAGAAGGTATATGCTAGAAATCAACTTTAGTTTTTTTTTTTTTCATTTTTTTTTTCATTTTTTTTCAACTTTAGTTTTATGTGACTAATGTATATATTAATCTTAAATATGTTTATAAGAAGATATGTTTTCTGTGCATTATAGATCCAGTTGTATCTTCCTTCCCGTTGGTGGGTGTTTTGAATTGTAAATACCAGAGAATGGGAAGTCCTGTGTGTGGTAGTTAAGACTCTGTTGTAGTACTGCTCTCAGAGACAGTCTGTCCTCGTATCTTGCCATTTCATTGTTTCTTCTGGCCCACAGGCCTTACTCTGTCTCTTCCTTGCATGTAGGTCGTAGTGAGGATTCTTTGTAGAGTCCTCTAATACTGAAAAAAAAAATTAGTTTCCTAGGTGATATCTGTATTACTCATGGTTGTAGCTCTGTGTCCATGGGACCACGGCTCCCAAGTGGTATCCCTAGTGCTCATCTAGAGTCTTTCAAAGCCTGTTTTCTCTGTTGGCTAGGCAGACATCTCCACAAACCTGTCAGTCACAGGAAATTTAAAGTCAAGTTCTATGTCTTGGCTAGACCCATCTTCCTGGATAACCTGTTTCCATGGATAACTTCCCCAGCTCCCCATAACTTCCCTAGATTCTTTATCTCTCTTTCCATGGTCAGGATAGCTTGTGTCCTTCCAATGAGATTCATTTCTTACTCTCTTCTTGATTGCTTTGGCCGTAATAGCGAACCATGCCTGGATTTTTGCAGCCACCTGCCAGCTGTCTTTCTGCTTCAGTCCCATTTTAGACTCTACATCCAGGCTGGGCTGTTGAAACAAGAGTCTTATCACATTAGTGCTTAAAGCCCCAGAGCTCTAGAAGCAACTAATCTCACCATGTGACCATGTGAGGGCATGTATTATAGCTTTCTTCTTATGACTAAGTAACATTCTAGTATATTGACATAGTATGTTTTAAATGGGTCATGTGTGTGGTTTGTGACTCTGCTTTAAAACAATTGTACTTTAGTTTCCTTTTAAAACTGTTGATATTTGTACCCTTTAAGTAGCTAGCTATGACCTGGTGGCTAGGGTACTAGCACTCAGAACACTATGGGAGAACAATCACAAGGGAGGGGACCAGGGAGCTTGAGCTGGCTCCACCTGCCTGCTGTCTGCTGTGCTTGAGGAGTCCCTCTCTGCTTGTATAAAATTTAGGCTGCCCGTTATTTTTAGATTGAATCAATTTTGTTTCATTAGTTGAATAAGTCATTAGGTATATCAGGTATATCTTCCAATTCTGTAATATCTTTATTTACTTTGGATTAGAATCTTTATTTTTCTTACCACACACACACACACACACACACACACACACACACACAGTATGTTTGAGATTGGGTAGGGTAGAGGCTTGGAATTCTGATTTTGGCTTTAATTTTCTCAGAAGCTTAACTTTTTGAATAGTGCAGGTGAATCAGGATATAACACTGGAAAGCAAAATAATAGTACAATTTTGTTTCAGTAAGTTTTTATTGCTGTTAAGCACCTAGCATTTTAGCATTTAAAAGTGGTTTTCTTAATACTTGCTAGTATTACTGACAAATGTTTCTTTAATAAAGAGTAAAGGCCAGAAGTGAAAGAGAACCGTGCACATTAGACTTTCCATGTAGCCATATAACTAGTTGGGATTAAATAACAGTCATGGCTCTCTCTTGAGTATGGGTGACTTTGTGTTCCAGCTGTGCAGAGTCTGCACCATTGTGATGCTGCTAGATTCTGAGAGTTCTAATAGAGCAGCCTTGAGTTTGTCTGTGCCTTCCTCCTTAACAGCTCCTGTTCCAATTTCTCTGCTGTTCCTCTTCCCAGCCCGCCTTGCCCTTTCTGCCCCCTCACCACCAGATTGAAAGTGGGAAAGTCTAAAATATTATCATGTGGTTTTTATTTTGTTGCAGTGTAAGCTGTAACCATGACTACTGAAGTTGGCTCTGCATCTGAAGTGAAGAAGGGCTCTGACCAGGCGGGAGCAGATGCCCCCAAGGAGAAAGCTAAAGAAGTAGAAAATGAGCAGACTCCAGTATCTGAGCCAGAGGAAGAAAAAGATTCCCAGCCAGGACCTACAGTTGAAAGCCAAAGCAGTCCCCACCGGCGGAAACGAGGGAAGGATCTGTCTGAGAACAGGGGCATCTCTCGCTTCATACCCCCATGGCTTAAGAAGCAGAAGTCTTACAACTTAGTAGTAGCCAAAGATGGAGGAGATAAAAAAGAGCCTACTCAAGCTGATGTGGAAGACCAGATCCTAGACAAAGAGGATACCCTCCCTGAAGAAGAGAGTCGGGCCAAGGGGGATGCAGAAGAGATGGCTCAGAGGAAGCACCTGGAGGTTAAGGTGGAGGTCAGGGAAGAAAAACCAGCCCTGAAAAGCAGCACTGAGACCCAGGTAGGTGGGAGAAGACTGGAATGAGGGCACAGCACATGGGGAAAGGGGCTGGCTGGTTTGGGGTCATTTTCCTCTTCTGTATTGAGATACTACCTCAGCCTAGTGTTTCTGGAATACAAAACTTGGATTATTGTACTTTAGTTTTCCCTGTGAGTCTTAAAAACTATTCCCAAAGCAACAAAACCAAACAAAGAACCACCACCATAGCAAGAAAACCCACATAACCCTGTCTTGAACATGCCTGTTTCTGGGAAGGTTGAAAGCCCTGTTGGGCCCTCCCACCTCTTCTGTTACATTGATGCCCTGTAATTTACCTTTGACTTATTTAAGTAAGTAGTGGACTCTGTGTGTGTGTGTGTGTGTGTGTGTGTGTGTGTGTGTGTGTGTGTGTGTG